TGGAAATCCTCTTAACTGTAACTGTTAATCCCGTGTGAGCGAGGAAGTCGTGTATAATTAGTATACGGGTTGACCACCCCACTTGTGACTGTTAGCTACAGTCAACCAAAAGCAAGTGATGAACTATCCTTTTATTTGTTATTGTTCTGGCGTCGATGAAGCGTACGGTGTTGTTTCTCATGGTAAATCATGAGTGTGTTTGTTTCTCATGGTAAATCGGCGTCGATGAAGCGTACGGTGTTGAACTATCCTTTCGACTGTCCTGACTGGCTGGAGCCTTATCAGATAGACCTGAAGTAACAAACAATAATTAAAGCATGAATACAATAAATAAGAATATAGAGTCATATGTAAAGACTCAGACCCGCGATGAGAATACACCTTAATACCCGGAATGTTTTTGATCTCAAGGATTTAGATCAAATATTCCAACTAAAGTTTATGTGCATATATCTTATCACAACTAGGTGTAGGTGCACAACTACATTTTATTATGATCAGATCATATGAACTATTTAATTTGGGAGTAATATTTGATAGACTAAAACTTTTTGGTGATCCAAAACGTATAGGAATTCGGCATGGCACATTCAAGAGAATGGATAATCATCGAGGACACGGATGAAGAAGAGGAAGTTTCATTCCCCATGATGGTAGGCGATCCTTACTACCCTATAAATCCAACCACCTTTCATCCAATACCTTCTGACGATGGAGCACCTTTACCCTCCAACGAATGGGAAGAGAGTGAACTAATGGAAGGAAGTGAATCCATGGAGGTGACAGAGTCGGTGGCATCATCTTTACCACCACTGAACACTCTTTACCGTAAAGTTCCAGGAGGAGTAAAAATGAAACGCACGGCACGTAAATCCATACCGATATGGCCAAAGATTAAAAAGAGTCAGAAGGCGACATCTTCAGGAAGTCATAGAGTTCAAGATGAACCTGCACGGATCGCACAAACCGTTGATAGGTGGGTGGCGGAAGAAAGAGCTGCCAAGATGTATGAGACTAGTCAATCATCTCGACCACATCTCCCACATTCTTCTGAAGATAAAACTTTATCTCAATTGTTTGAGAAAAGTGTCAAAATTGAAGACAAAATGGAAATTGTCGAAGGGAGGGCTACTCATCTCTCTGGAAGAGTGCGAAGGCTAGAAGGACGAAGGACACAAGATCAGGAATCGGTGATGGATGTCCATCATCGTATAAATTTTGCTTATAATGACATGATTACTCACGATGCTAGGATTGCAAAGTTAGAGCTCTACAATCAAACCTCAAGAAATGATGAACGCACGGGAAGTCTTGAGCAGAGAACTCAAGCACTTGAAGAGCAAGTGGTTAATGTCACTGACGTGCTGGGTCATCACTTAGGTTTCTGGTAGATAAGCTCCAACTAGTGGTTATGTAAGTAGAGAAAATCAGACTAGTTAAGGCGAAAAGAGGAAAGTTTATAGCAAGGATGTAGAAAACCTTGCAAATTTTGCAATGTTTATAGAAACTTTTCTCTTATAACCTAAATAAACTGATGTAACCACTGGTAATAATATGAAGCATATGTTACAGTAATCATTGTGTTGTCTATTACGTTTTACACTGTGAATAATAACTGGAGTATTTAGTACTCGTGTATTAAATGATTAACAAAACTCATAAAATTCTTATTATTTATAATAGGAACTAAAACAAAATGCCTAGAAGGAGTAATCGGCTAAACCCTAACCGACCATCAGCACCACAACAACAACAACCGCAACCACCACCAGAAATAAACCCCTCAATAAGTACAGTACAACTTGAAAAATCATAGCTCAAAGAATTGCTGCGGCTCTATCTAATGTCACAAGAGATGGAGTTAGAAATGAAGGCCATGTAGGGACCACTAGAACATGTACCTACAAAGATTTTATGAATTGCAGGCCAAAAAGCTTTAATGGAAATGAAGGGGTAGTTAATTTGACGAGGTGGATAGAAAAGACAGAGTCCGTCTTTCAAATAAGCTTTTGTCCAGATGATTGTAAAGTACAATTTGCAGCATGTACTTTCGCTGATGCAGCACTCACCTGGTGGAACAACCATGTGAATACCATGGGAATTGATACTGCAAATTCCATGAAATGGGAGGAGCTAAAAATGATGCTAGTAGAGGAGTATTGTCCTAAGGAGGAGATACATAAACTGGAACAAGAACTGTGGACCCTAACAATGAAGGGTTCAGAGATAAAAGCTTATACCGCTAGATTTAATGATCTTGCTGTAATGTGTCCAGCACTTGTAACCCCTGAATATCAAAAGATTGAACGATATATCTGGGGTTTAGCATCGCAAATTAAAGGCATGGTGATCGCATCAAAGCCTACGACTTATGACAGCACCAAGAGGATAGCTCATCAGCTAACCCTCACAGAGATCCAAGGAACAGAAGTGGTCTCAAAGGCTGAGTCTCCCAGATCTAGAACAAACAAGCGCAAGTTTAATAGGAAGAATCCCAAACAATCATCTGAGAAAAGACAAGAAGTGGTAACCAATTATGCAGCCACAACAGCAGTACCTACACAACCAAAATCTTCATGGTGCAATCAGTGCAACCGTCATCATCCAGGTGACTGTTTTGTCTGCATGAAGTGCAAGAAAAAGGGGCATACTGCTAGTTACTGCAGGAGCACAACACCTGCAACAATCGATCAACAAACCAATAATGGGACAGGCCGTGGTGAAGGAAGAAAATGCTACGAGTGTGGGGAGGTTGGACATATCAAGAAAGAATGTCCAAAGTTAAGGAGTCAGGGAGGCATAGGACATGGCAGTGCGTTTGTGATTGGAAGCAGAGAGGCTATCCAGGACCCTTCAGTCGTATCTGGTACGTTTCTTATAGATAATTTATATGCTTCTATACTCTTCGACTCTGGAGCAGATCGAAGTTTTATAACTCCAACATTTAGAAAATTGTTAAGTCATAAGTCTAGCAGATTAAAAGAAATCTATGAAGTAGAAATCGCTAACGGTCAAACTGAGAAAACACATGAAATCCTAGAAAACTGTCTGTTAACTCTTAATAACTACCTTTTTCACGTCAACCTCATGCCAATGCCTATCGGTAGTTTTGATGTCATAATTGGCATGGATTGGTTATCTTCACACCGCGCCGAAATTCTATGTCATGAGAAAGCCATACGACTACCCTTACCAAACGGCAAAGCCCTGATTATCTATGGTGATAAATCTGGGAAGAACCTCAAAGTCATCTCTTGTACTAAGACCCAGAAATATCTACATAAGAAATATAGCGCATTCTTAGCCCACATTGTAGATAGGAAGAGAAAGACAAAAGAAATCAAGGACATACCTCAAGTATGTGATTTCCCTGACGTGTTTCCTAAAGATCTACCTGGAATACCTCCCGTCCGACAAGTCGAGTTTCGAATCGATTTAATTCCAGGAGCAACACCAGTAGCGAAATCTCCTTATCGGTTGGCTCCATCTGAAATGCAAGAATTGTCTAGCCAACTACAAGAACTTCTTGACAAAGGCTTTATCCGACCAAGTTTTTCACCTTGGGAGCACCAATCTTGTTTGTCAAGAAGAAGGACGGATCCTTTCGAATGTGTATTGATTATCGGGAGCTAAACAAGCTAACGATCAAGAATCGTTATTCACTTCCGAGAATTGATGATTTATTCGATCAACTGCAAGGATCTAGCTACTACTCAAAGATAGATCTTAGATCAGGATACCATCAACTCAGAGTACAAGAAGACGACATTCCAAAAACAGCATTTAGAACACGTTATGGTCATTATGAGTTCTTAGTTATGTCTTTTGGATTAACCAATGCCCCAACAGTGTTTGTGGATCTCATGAATCGTGTTTGCAAACCATACTTGGATAAATTCGTGATCGTATTTATCGATGATATATTGATATATTCACGAACCAAGGAAGAACATGGTCAACACCTGCAAATAATCTTGGAACTACTAAGAAAAGAAAAGTTGTACGCTAAATTCTCCAAATGTGAGTTTTGGATTAGAGAAGTACAATTTTTAGGTCATGTAGTTAGCAACGAAGGAATTCATGTTGACCCATCCAAAGTTGAAGCAATCAGGAATTGGGAAGCACCAAAGACGCCAACAGAGGTGCGTCAATTCCTAGGACTTGCTGGCTATTACCGTAAATTCATAGAGAATTCCTCCAAAATAGCCAAGCCACTTACAGCACTAACCCGAAAGAATACGAAGTTCAACTGGGAAGACAAACAAGAAGCTGCTTTTCAGAAACTGAAGCAAATGTTGTGTAGTGCACCAATCCTATCCCTTCCAGATGGAACAGAAGATTTCGTTGTATACTGCGATGCGTCAAATCAAGGATTGGGATGTGTGTTGATGCAAAGAGGAAAAGTTATCGCCTGTGCATCACGACAACTTAAGTTGCATGAGAATAATTACACTACCCATGATCTTGAATTGGGAGCTGTAATTTTTGCACTAAAAATTTGGAGACATTACTTATACGGTACTAAGTGTACTATTTTTACCGACCACAAGAGTCTCCAACACATCTTCGACCAAAAAGATCTTAATATGAGACAAAGAAGATGGGTTGAATTGTTGAATGATTATGAATGTGAGATTCGTTATCATCCCGGAAAGGCAAACATGGTAGCAGATGCCTTGAGCCGGAAAGAATATATTAAACCCCGACGAGTACGAGCATTAACTATAACTATCCATTCTAACTTTACCGCACAAATTAGAGAAGCTCAGCTTGAGGCTCTAAAAGAAGAAAACATTAAGAACGAAGCTTTGCGAGGAATGGAAAAGCAACTTATATGAAAAGATGATGGAATACAATACTTTATGAACCGAGTTTGGACGCCTAGGTTCGGTGGAGTCAGGGACTTGGTCTTAGAAGAAGCCCACAAGTCCAGATATTCTGTGCATCCAGGTTCTGACAAAATGTACTTAGATTTAAAAGTACATTATTGGTGGCCAAACATGAAGGCAGAAATTGCTACTTATGTGAGCAAATGTTTGACTTGTTCTAGAGTAAAGGCAGAACATCAAAAGCCTTCAGGTTTACTTCAACAACCGGAAATACCTGAATGGAAATGGGAGCAGATATCAATGGACTTCATCAATAAGTTACCTAAAACTCCTAGTGGGTCCGACACTATTTGGGTGATAGTCGATAGGTTGACTAAGTCCGCCCATTTCTTACCAATTAAGGAGAACGACAAGATGGAGAAGCTAACTAGAATTTATCTTAAGGAAATTTTTCAGATTGCATGGAGTTCCAAATTCTATTATTTCTGACCGAGATAGTAGATTCACTTCACGATTTTGGCAATCTCTTCAAAAATCCTTAGGAACACGTCTGAACATGAGTACCGCTTACCATCCATAGACTGATGGTCAGAGTGAGAGAACCATTCAGACTTTAGAAGATATGCTCCGAGCCTGTGTAATAGACTTTGGAAATGCGTGGATACTCATTTACCGTTAATTGAGTTTTCCTACAACAATAGTCATCACACCAGCATCAAGGCTGCACCATTTGAGGCTCTTTATGGATGAAAATGTCGTTCCCCAGTGTGTTGGGCAGAAGTTGGAGATACGCAGATGGCCAGAGAACGTACAGGCGATACCTTACGTACTGGACCAGAAATAATCCACGAGACAACTGAAAAGATCATGCAAATTAAGGATCGATTAAAGGCTGCACGTGATCGTCAAAAGAGCTATGCTGACGTAAGACGTAAGCCTTTAGAATTCCAAGTTGGAGATAAAGTAATGTTGAAAGTCTCTCCTTGGAAAGGTGTAATTCGATTCGGGAAACGAGGCAAACTAAACCCACGATATATAGGACCTTTTGAAATTCTTGCAAGAATTGGTTCTATCGCATACCAACTCAAGTTGCCTCAAGAACTAAGAAATGTGCACGATGTTTTTCACATATCAAACCTCAAAAGATGTCTATCCGATGACACTCTTGTTATACCTCTCGAAGAGATACAAGTCAATACGAAACTCAACTTTGTAGAAGAACCTGTTGAGATCATGGATCGAGAAGTCAAACGATTAAAGCAAAGTCGTATTCCCATAGTGAAAGTTCGATGGAACTCTTTGCGAGGACCTGAACTTACTTGGGAACGTGAAGATCAGATGAAAGAAAAATACCCCCAACTGTTTAACGAAACCCCATCCATAAGATAAATTTCGGGACGAAATTATTCTAACGGGGGGAGAATGTAACACTAGTCAAAATAGGTCAATAGACAATCACATGTGATTATGCCAATCATGTAATGTGATTATGTTAAACTAGTAATGTGGTAAGAGTGTTATGTAGTTCATGATAAATTCTAATACAAATATGAACCTTCTTTATAATACAACTCAAAGTATACGTTCATACGATCCCAAAAATATAGAGAATGTTTGAATCTGACTTCGCATGAAGAAGTTATGATAAACTGAACACTATAAATCTCTATAATAAGAGGAATTTAAAATAAACTTAGAATTAGATATTTAAGTCTAAAAGAGAGTTGTAGTACTCATAAATACCTACGCGTGGATATAAAGAACGTCAAAAACGGAGTTCGTATGTGAAAGTTACGACCTTTCGAAGATTCAGCTGTCAGAAACCCTAATCTGACTGAACTCACGAGGTGAGGAGTCATAAGGCCAGATTTCGGAGCTAGTAGGCACATGGCAAGTCTACGAAGTGATAAACCAAAAGTTCACGACGTGAGCAAGGATTGATTCACGTCGTGAGGAGTCAAAGGGACACCATCCGAAGCTAGGGACTAAATGGCGGGTCTACGAAGTGAGCAGGATCGAGCTCACGACGTGAACATGCTTGGTTCACGTCGTGAATGGCCAAAAATCAGCCTATAAATAGAAAATTCGACCTTAACACTTCTCACACCTAAACACTTCTCTCTATCTCGTTTTTTGAGGCCATTTTGCATCCCGAGCCCCGACGACCTCGTACGCTGACCGTTTTTGCTTAGATAACATAAAATCACGCTACTAGGGTGAGTTTCACGGCCCCACTTTCTAATATTTCGGGGGAAAACGCATGCTAGATATTATATATATGTTATTATTATGTCTATATAATAGTATATAGTTATAATAGCCGGGGTATAGTTGTTTCTTAATATAATATTTTGAATATATACAACTAATATGAACTTATCAGTATGTTAATTTACTAATATAGATCTTGAGTTATACTTAAGATTCTATATATATGTTGTGTGCGATATAGTTCCGAAGTTATATTCGGAAGATTTATATGTTAAGTTGTGAAGTATGTTGCTATTAATAGTTTTATGTCAAGATAAAACTGGATATGTTATACGTTGTTATTGTTAGTTTTATGTTAAGATAAAACTTGGTATTGTTATTGATAGTTTTATGTCAAGATAAAACTAGGAACGTTATATGTTGTTATTATTGGTTTTAGGTCAAGATAAAACCTGGTTTTACTTCAAGATATAGCTGTTATACTGCCTAAATTTATGAAGTTAGGAGTAATGTTTAAAAGCATAGTCTAGTAACTTAGGGTTTTAGACATAAAGATGCTTTTGTTGTTAGAGCTATAGGAAGCCGTCAAAGTCTACATGAGTAATTGTATTATCAACTAAGATTGGGGATCTTAGTGGAAATCCTCTAACTGTAACCGTTAATCCCGTGTGAGCGAGGAAGTCGTGTATAATTAGTATACGGGTTGACCACCCCACTTGTGACTGTTAGCTACAGTCAACCAAAAGCAAGTGATGAACTATCCTTTTATTTGTTATTGTTCCGGCGTCGATGAAGCGTACGGTGTTGTTTCTCATGGTAAATCATGAGTGTGTTTGTTTCTCATGGTAAATCATGAGTGGTTTCTATCAGAGGTATTATGTCATAGCAGCGGTTACAGGCTCATGGTAGCAAATTGTTAGAAACATTATACTTTGTCGTATACAAGTATTAATGTTAAGTATAAGTTTCCCCCTACTTATACCTTAGGATTAAGGAATGTTTAGGTATAACACTTAATTGATAAGTAAACTATTATACCTAATATACATACTAAATGTTGGAGAGTCAAAATGATACTTTCAAAAACTATACTTTTGAATGTGGAAAATGTATTATTTTATGGAGTCAAAACCTGTGGACTCACCAACTTTATGTTGACGTATTTTAAAATGCATGTGTTTTCAGGAACTTGAAAAGCTGGTATGTATTCGAACAGAAGAAGTTTTACTATTACCTTTCTGTTCATTAAGAAGTATGACATAGTCGGATATTATGTAATAGGTTCTAGAAAAACAGTTATGTAACTTTCAGTTATCAATAAAGGTATGTATTTTCTTTAGTACTGTTCAATGTATGTTATATAACTGTGATACGAAGAATAACGTTACACTACCCGGTGTTTCCGCCGATGGCTGGGGGTATGACAGAAATTGGTATCAGAGCTATTAACTATAGTGAACTAGTACTTTCTTAGGAAGCACATCTATAGTTTAGGACTTACTCTATTAGGTTTTAGGTATATCCCTTAGCCTATAAATAAAAAGTATTATTATTATTCTACTGAAGGACTACTTACGGGAGCGGTGACAAGGATAGACAGTTGATTTGGGTTGCTGGATTTCAGAACGGCTATATGCTAAATGATCTGGCCTTTCGATGTCCTGACTGCCGGAGCCTTATCAGATAGACCTGAAGTAAAAACAAGAATTAAAGCATGAATACAAAAATAAGAATATAGAGTCATATGTAAAGACTCAGACCCGCGATGAGAAATACCTTAATACCCGGATGGTTTTTATCTCAGGATTTAGATCAAATATTCCAACTAAAGTTTATATGTGCATATATCCTATCACAACTAGGTGTAGGTGCGCAACTACATTTTATTATGATCAGATCATATGAACTATTTAATTGGGAGTAATATTTGATAGACTAAAACTTTTTG